ATATATAACCCAATATATATGCGTTTGTGTAAATAAAACTTTTATCTACTGAACATCAGTGTCTGCTGACTGTCAATGGGGGAAAAGTAACAAACATTTACTATTATTTCCAACAGAATACAGGCAATCATCACATTTAAGTTGAAATAATCACATATGGAATGACCAGATGAGACCACTGATGTCTGGGTGGTAAAACAAAATAAGGACTTTTATTTTGCAGCATGTTGTTAGAAAAATCCAAAAATAAACTATCTTTAAACTCACAGAGTTCTACATGTTTTATTAGGTCATTTAGCCAGTCTTGAATTGGGCTGACTCCAGAAGTCACTCAGATGTGGATAATTAATGATCTAAATGTTTCATTAAAATCTGTTCAATGAGATATTTTGCTAACAGATAGAATGACTTTACTTTAAAGATTAATGCCAAAGTTTAAAGCAAATGTGCACAATGTGAAATTACCGCACTAATTTAGCTCAATGTCTGTAAAAGTAGCTGAATTATTCGTAGGTAATTATTATTACAGCTTATAGCTGTTTTTGTGTTTGCTGAGGTCAGTTTGGCAGCCATGTTGAAATGAGTTGAAACAGAGGTACAGCCATAGATTACTTTCTGAAAATTCTTTAAATACCCTTTTATGTTTCATGAGATAATCTGCTAACAAACAACTGATTTCACTAACATCAACGTTTAAAACCCAATTCTCCTACTTAGAGCATAATTTGAGGCGGATTTTTAGCTGCTACAGCAAATGAACAAATCAATGAGTTCCAGTCATCTTTGTGTTGGCTACAGTCAGTTCAACATGAGTTGACTCCAAACGTTGATCAGTTGTACATTTATGGCTATTAATTAGATTTTAAATTTTTTGTTATGAGTTCATGTTCATGATATATTTTGTTAATAGTAAAGACTAACAAATCCTTACACTTTGCCTTTGTCTACAGGCAACAATGTTACAGTGTTTCACTGTATCATGCATGAACAGAGTGTTAAAAGTATTCACCTCTTTGGACAATTTATACTTTTACTGCTGTTATAAATCTGTCATGGAAAATAAAAGTTGGCCTTCTTTACAAAATAATAACAAAAAAGGAAAACCTTTAATGACAAAGTAAAACCAAATTACAGAATAACGTGACTGCATAAATATTCACTCCTTTATGGTGGGGCTATGAGGAGCAGATCATCCTCACAAACTGAGTGACCACGAAGAAGAGAAAACGCTGTAGTAGATAGACAGACAGACAGACAGACAGACAGACAGACAGACAGACAGACAGACAGACAGACAGACAGACAGACAGACAGACAGACAGACAGACA